AGAAGGATGGTTTTATTCTCATATTATCCACTGCAGCAAATTTTGTTGGTGTTTCGATGCCAGTCATGCATATAATGATCCTGGTGATAAGAGGAAAAGATACTCTAAGACAAGCTGATGGTCTTAGGGGTCTAAGGGGAGACAAGTAGTTGACAAGTTCAAGAGGGACAGGGCAGGGAAACTTCCATTTTTATTTTATCTAAATGTACTGGTTTACCTTTGCATTATAAAATAAGTCAACACAATTAAAACACGACTAACTCTCATGGTGAAAATAAACCAAGAACGACAGGGAAAAAGGAGAAAAGTTTTTTTCTAAATAGTTTTAATTCTGCTCATTAAATAGTTTTAATTTTGTTTCTATATGGTCAAATCTATCCCTACCTTCTCATCACTATTGTCACAGGGTGGTCCCCAGGAAAAGGGGAGGTTCCAGGTTCCCTGCCCCACTCCAGGAAAGGTGGAGCTGAGCAGGGCGGTGAAGAAGCTGGAAAGACTGAAGGAAGGAAGGAAGGAAGAAGGAAGCAGAGAGCAAGAAGGAGACCTGGAGGAGGCACATGGAGCAGAGAGAGACAAGTGAAGAAGCTGCACTTGCTCTTTGGTCCTGGGCTGGTTGAAGCAGATGTGGGTAAGAGACCTGTGGGGCGGTTAACAATGGCCGCTTTTATCTTGATTTTGCTCCTCCTGTCCCAGACGTCTGGGCCCCTTCTGCCCCTTCCTCTGGGTCCCCACCAGAAGGTGCTTTAGACTTGAGGCAAGCTTTTAGGCCTCAGTGGCCCTGCTTTGGGCCAACCCTGTTTGGCTGAGCATTTTACCTACAAGGGAATGGGTAACTTTGGGTGTTTGATTTGGAAACTTTATTCTTCCCCTTTCTTTCTTTGTTGTGCACTAATTCTATTAACGTTCCTTTCCATTAAATGTCATAGTCACTAGAGTATGTTTTGTCTTGATGTGGCAGATGGCAGAACATATTTAGAACAGACAGGTTTGGAGGTTCTGGGGTGCCCCTCTCCCTGCCCTGTAACACTACCTCCTATCCTTGATTAGTCACCAGAAATTTGTTCATAGGAATTAGAACAATCATGTTCAACTAAATCATCTAACTTGAGTAACTTATCTATTCAACTAAGGGAGAAAATAAGTGAAGAATAGCTTTCAATGAATTCTCATCATTTATAAGTTATTCAAGTTCTAAGCTTCTTTTCTTCTCTTTATTAAATAAACACTAAAGGCTGAGTCATTGTGCTGACCACTGGGAAATAAAAACACCCTTGGCTTAGAAAAAAATTATAGACTGGGGAGCATACAGATTCAATCCTGACTATTAAGGAATGCATGCTATAAGTACCCAAAGAGAAATCAAAAGAAAACTCATTAGGAGTGAAGTTAATTCCATTTGAAAGAAACTGAGGAAAAGACTTCATAGTCTTCAACCATCCTGAGTAAGAGTTCAAAAGGTAGCAATTTGGGGACTTATGTGAATAACTTAGAGAGGAGGAGTAATCTTGAGTATAAGATTGGTTATAATATTGAAAAGATAGGGTGAGGGCTTCCTTGGTGGTGCAAGGGGTTAAGTCTCAGCACTATCAGCAGCCACTGCAGCATGAGTTCAATCCCCTGCCAGGGAGCTGCCCACATGGCACAGCAGACCTCTCCTGCCTCACCTGCTGCTCCCCTCAGCAGTGTATATCAGTCAATCCACCTGTTCTGTTCCCCGCTCTGTCTCTGGTGAATCCTCTCTCTCACACACACATACCACCTCTGCAGCTCTGGCCTGTACCCCAGCTTTTGTATGGATAAATAAATAAAATAAATCTTTAAAAAAAAAAAAAGGTAGGGTGAGCTCAGACTGTGGAAGGCCTGAGTACTAACTACAGATTAATTCTGAGGCATCAAAAGTTTCTGATCAAGGGAATAAAAACATAATTTACAACTATAATCAGAAAAATAAATGGCAACAGCATGGAGGATGGATGGGGAGAAATGAGAGGCCAATGGGGAGAGGCCGCAGGAATACTAGAGACAAGCCAGAAAGGGCTTAAGAAGGGTATTGTACAGAAGGGCCTATATCAGAGCTGTGCAGAGGCTGAACTGATGCAGATAGCTTAAAAATGGGAAGAGGCAGGCAGAAGGAAGAAATGATTCCAAATTTTACAGACTAGATGTGATAAATGGTGCGTGTAAGATACACCTCTGGTAGAGCAGGTTTAGATTGGAAAGGTAGTAATGTACAAGGTAAGTAAATAGATAAACAAGATAATTTGAAATCATACTAGGTATGCTACTGAATAAACAAATAAATTGTAATGTACAAGGTAAGTAAATAGATAAACAAGATAATTAGATTGGAAAGGTAATGGGTTATTTTTTTAGCTTTCTTCAATTTGAGTGCCTAAGGGGTATTCACAGAGATGCCTGATTTGAGAGGCAAACCTGGGGGCTGACACTTGAGGATAAGAGAATTTAGGATTAGAATCCAATTTGTGGGTTCATCTACTGGAGTCTTACAATAAAAAAGACTACACAGGCAAAGAGAAAAACAGGGCAGAGAAGAGATCAGGAACGGAAGTGGACAAGAACAGAAATTATCTCAAACAAAAGGGAGCAAGACAACTGAGTGGAACTCAAGCAAGTTAACTTTGCTTTCTGTAAATAACTCTGATAAAGATTCAGGAAAACACAACTCCAGACTCTCCTTCCTCAAGGAATCAGTTGAGATTCTGCTCAGTTCTCTGAAATTCAATTATGGAATCAGTCATACAATTTGTAGCTAATATATTCATTTGTCTCACTGAAGTACTAATTTGTTATGTCTGAGTGTGCATTCCTATTCCTAAAAGGGCTTCTAGTGTCCCTACCTTATTTCTCAGATCAAATCTTGTAACTTTCCCGATTAAAGCCTTATCCATATTAAAGCTGAGATTGTATTAACATAACCATAACTTCATTTCTTTTTTTTTTTTTTTTTTTGGTGGGACCCTCACCGGTGGCTGGGGAACGAACCAGTGCTGCAGAGGCCGCAGGCAGCCTCGCAGCCCAGCGCTCAACCGCTGCGCCACCAGGGGAGGCCCCCATAACTTAATTTCAAACTGATTAATTACTTCATAACCTAAAATAGAAAAATATTTTTAAAACAGTTTTATTTAAATACTAGAGAAAACTTTAAAACAAACTAGATTGTTTCCTGGATGATGCTTATTTGGAAATAAGAGCAGCTGTATTTTACACACCCTAAATTAGCCATTAAGTGACAAATGACTATTTAATCAGGAAGTTTAAAAAGGTAGCCCAAAAGCCCAGGTCAATGTTAGCACCTCCATCTTTCTATACTGTTAACTGCCAGGCAGCAAGTGCTACGGAAGATGTAGGAGGATCCTTCCTTATATGACTGTTTCTCGGTTCTGACCAGCTACTAAGAGATAGGCTTGTTCTGACCCATCTCTCACCAGACATTATGAGAAAAGTCTCTCACCAGATTCTTACATATAATCATCATTTTTGTTTGCTGCAGTCCCAGTCATTTCCTACCTCAGACCAGTCTCAACACGCACTAGCTTTTTGCACTGAATCCACACTGTGTGTGTGTTGGTGTGACATCAGCTGTCCTGCCCCTAACATGGCCTTTGAGGAAGAAACTTACAATGGTGCTTTGAGTCCCAACAAAGCCCCTTCCTCTCTATTTAGGATCTCTGACATTTCCCCCCTTCCATTTAAAATTCTTCCTATTTAAATTTAAAAAAAAAATTAAGTAAGACCATAAAAGGGGAAGAGGCGTAGGGAGGCCTAGAGGGCTAAAATTCACGAGGGAAAAATAAAAGTTATAAAACTGCTTTGTGGTTACATCTTTTGCCAACTGGTTTCAGTGTTAGCTAGAAAAGGGTTCTAGCTGTGCAAACTTTTAAAAATTGTTCCTATACCCTCCAACAGATGATTCCCCACTCTCAAGAAATGTTCTAGGCAGGAAATCAAAATGCACTAAAAGGTATGGGAAGAGATGGCCCAAATCATACCAAACATAGTCGAGGATGAGTTATCTAGTTTATATCTCAGAAAGAATGCTTCATATCATTACTTCATAAATGTAGGGACTGAGCCAAATATTTAGTTTGAAACAATTTGGCTTTCCCATGGAGATGGAATCTGATGGCTGTGCTCCCTGTCAGATCTGTTTATTTCATTATAATGACGGTTGTAACATACCATCCCCATGTACAAAGCCAGATATGCAGGAAATATGAGAAAACTGGAAAAATTTACCAGCTCTGCGGCCCCTGGATTGTGTTATAAGTCACCAGCATATGTAACTCATTTTCTTGTTAAGTAATTCCCTCTGGGGACTAGGTCTGCACTCCACATGAAGGATCAAATTTCATTTGCAGTTGTAGGAAAATGCAGCCCTGTGCATTTGCAAGTCAAAACTCCTGAAGGCCACAGCTAGTCTGGCTATCTTGGTTGATTTTCTTGGGAGAGGATTTTAGCAAACAGAAAACATTTGTTGGATGGGACAGAAGAGGAAATTGAGAAGAAAAGGAGTTCAGCTAGCAAAGAGACAACTAAGCCTCAGTCTTAATGTTAAACTCTGGTCTTAACACTCAGCCTGCAGCTGTGTCCAAGCAGAGAGAGATTCAACAGTAATTCCAACCCCCAAGGCTACAAAATGACAAAAGGCACAGGAAGACAAATTAAAAGGGCAAGCATACAAAAACACATAATCCAATGGACATCAAACTCTCTTTATTTCTCGATATTAACTTGAATCTCAGCATGCAATTGATTTCACATGAAATTGGGTTAGAGACTCATAAATCTTAGCATCTGTGCAAATAATTCATTTGTGAAGTTTCATTAACTCATCTGATTTGAAGCAAAAGACACAGTCACCACATATTCGCCACTATTAAACTGTCTAGATTTGGAAGTTTTCTTTAGTTATCTGAAGTAGCATTTCTTTAGTTATCTGAAGTAGCATTCCCAAAGTTTTAAATCCGCCCGATTCTTACCTTGGTTTGAGTTGGTTCACCTTTCTCAAACATCATCTTAAGCCTGTTCAGTGGAACATTGTATTTCTCTATTTTGTTTGCAGCTTCTGTGTTTTCACTGATTTCAGGTTTTCCTATTTCATGCCTTGATTCTCCCAGCCAATTTTCCATTTTTTCACTTTCTGGTGAGTGGTTTTGGAGATCCTCACCGTCCTCAACGCGGGGATACCGATACTGAGGAAGGGCTTCCGGAGGCGCTGTGACTGTAGGTGTGGAGGGAAGTGGGTCCTCTTGGTTAGCTTCAGTCCCCGAAGCAGAGCTGCGTGCCACTTCAGCTGTTGGATGGTCGCCTCTGTGTCTGACCTCAGCGCTGCTGTTTCTCAGGGAGTCTGTGTGAGACTCTGTTTCCAGCCCTGGGTTCTCCCACTTCTTCTTCAGCACAGTTAGGATCCCCCTTCTGAAGTGCTGGGGGTGATTGTCAGTGTTCTAGAAGAACAAGAAATAAGTGCCAGTTATAACTTGCCTGCTGAAACACTCAAACATGTTGGTCTTTGTAAAACGAAAGTTTAAAACTCCAGGCTGCTCCTGGTCCACTGGCGTTTCAGGCAGCCGTGAGCAGTTACAGCCCTGCCACATGGAGAAAGCACCCACCCCAGCAGAGGGAGAGGGGAAGAGAGAATAAGTCAGAAACTGAAGCAGGAAGTGATAAAACAGGATAGCCTTATAAGGACAAAATGGGAAGAAAGGAGAGCCCAGATCTAATGATTGGAGACAAGAGATTTTTATCCAAATATTAATGGGGAAAACAAAGAAAAAGCAAAATACTAGGTACTTAAACACTGTAAATATGTACATACAGTAAAAGTTCATCATTGCATGCCGCAAAATTATGTGAATTCTGCTGGGTTTTTTTTCCTTTAAAATAAGGCACAGATGCAGGAAAGCTGAAACTATGCAATACCAATAACTGTGGACAGTAAGACCAAGGATGGAAACTATCTGTACAAATCTGAAGAAGTCACCAGACTTTTACAGTTATTTGCATAAACCATATTTCATCATGTAACATAATTTACACATAGCTAAACAAACTTTATTTTCACTAAGACTCTAATCTCTTTTTTCTGCTCTTTGCTGTATGTTTACCTACATGAGAAAACTCATTTACAAGAAAAGTCATGATTTTACAGATCCTTTTGATGAAAATATCCAGCTTAATTAGGAACTACCACCACTCACTTGATTGCAAGATCCAACTTACACTCAAGAGGGTTCAAGAGGGTTCACTTTCACCAGATCAAATTAATATGGAGACAGACTGAAAACCTGGCCATTGCCAATGTTGCTCCACAGTGAGAGAGAAAACATGTTTGATGAAGCAAGATGAAATGTCCCCTACTTTGTAAGCTCTCCCACACACATGGAGCAGCACCACCTTCCCAAAAGACCTGAACTCCAATTCTTTCTTGCCCTCCATTCCTGTGGTCTGTGACTCACCTGTCTTTCAAGAAAGAAAGGACAATCAATGACACTGAGAGTCTTCGGAGAATTAAACAGGATTAGCAGCTATATTGGGAATTAAGTCTCACCCTATTGCTCTTCTGAATATGCTCTGAAGCCACTCTATCAAGCAGCACCAAGACAGGAAAAGAAAGTTAACAAAGAGCAACTGCTTGATTTTGGCATTTAAATTTTAACTGATAGATGAGCTATGCATTGGAGGAACCACGTACAGGTCAGAGAGAAAATAAGCACAAAACGTTTTCTTTTTGGAAAAGAGAGAATTAAGTAAGATACAGCTCTGGAAGCTGGAGCTACCTTAAAGATAGCATGCAATGGACGAGTCACCTGGGTCCCAGACTTCACCTGCCCTGCTCTTCCCCAGCTGGAGGCAGAGAATCAAAGCAGCTTGGTAAAGTGCCTCACTAACTGGACACTGCTTTCCTCAGAGACAAATCATGTGATCAAGTATATTTGTTAACATAATAAGATGCTTTTGAGTGACAAAAGCAAATTATAAGACAGCATGACCCCATTTTATAAAACACGGGTATATTTAGAAATATAAACAGAAAAGTATTCTGGAAGAAAAGACATCAGGGTGTTAACAGGTTATCTTTGGATCATAGACTAAGGGCAATTGAATTCTTTTTTCTCTTTTTATAGTAAGTGTGTATTCATTGTATAATAACACAAATACAGAAATAAAAGTATACGTCATCTTCTATCACCAAAAAAATCTCCCTATAAAACAGTAATAATCTTGATGTTGTTGTAAGCAGCTTGAAAATTGTCATTTCCACTTTACTTGATCACCTGGAAGCATTTGTGAGGTGGAAACTCATACCAGTGTCCCCAGCCAGAGTATGGGGGAGGAAACAGTCAGGGAGCATTTTATTTTATTATTTTTTAAAAATTATTTATTTCTGCATACAAGAACTGTGGTGTAAGCCAGAGGTGCAGGGGGGTGAGAGGATTCACCAGAGAAAGTGGGGAGCAGAACAGGCAGATCCACTCAAATACACTTCTGAGGGGAGCAGTGGGCGAAACAGGAGAGGTCTGCTGTGCCATGTGGGTAGCTCCCTAGCCAGCCAGAGATTGAACTCAGTGCTGCCTTGGCTGGCAATAGCTTGACAGTGCTGTGTCTTTAACCCTTGTGCCACCAGGGAGGCCCCTATTTTTTTAAAAAAAGATTTATTTATTTATGCATATAAGAGGTAGGGTACAGGCCAGAAAGGCAGGGGTGAGAGAATTCACCAGAGACAGAGTGGGGAATAGAACAGGCAGATTGACTGAAATACACTGCTGAGGGGAGCAGCGGGTGACACAGGAGAGGTCTGCTGTGCCATGTGGGTGGCTCCCTGGCCAGGGATCTAACTCGTGCTGCAGTGGCTGCAGTCAGCTGCATCTTAACCCCTTGAGCCACCAGGGAGGCCCTACCTGCTTCATGTTGTTTCACAGCATTAGTCACCACCTGACACAGTTTCTTTATTGCCAGTCTCTCCCCCTAAAACAAACTCCATGATGACAGAAATATAGTCTATATTAGTATTGGCATGCAGTAGGTGCTCCACAATTAATTTGCTAAATGAATGAATGAAAGAAAAGGAAAAGGTGCAGGGGAGGAAGGGGGAAAATAACAGATAGAAGAGAGATAAGAAGGAAAGAAAAGAAAAAAGCAATTGAGTGAAATGATGGTAACTTTTCACTCCATTTTTGAATTATAGGAAAATGAAACCAAGGACTTAGAAAGTATTACCTCCTTAGACAGAGCAAATTGACAGGGGCATGCTGTGTACTAATTTAAGTAAGTTAGGCACTAAAAACTGTGGAGAGGATATTTTTGTAATGTTAGCCAAATTAAAGAACTCTCCTCCAAATGAAGCTTTTTTCTTGGTAAGATTTCAAAAGAAATACACTATACAGCTCAGCTGAAAGTTAGCCAATGGGGAGAGTAGAAAATGGTTATAAGCAGAGGGCTTGTTCTGAATCTTCAGTTTTTGATGAATCCTACAGCTAACAAACTTGCTAACTAGACTGGGGCAAGAAGTTTGCTTTAAAAAAAGAACCCAGAGGCTAACAAGAGCTGCACAGCTGCTACCACTTAATTGCATAGATACAGAAATTCTAGTTATTTGAATTGGAAAAAAGATGTCTGCCTAAGAAACCCTGTATTCTAATTTGAGCTAGAGCAGTAAACCAGTTTACTAGCCTCAGGCAAAGCACTTGGCCTTCTGTCCTTCACTCAATTCAAGAAAGAAAAAGTGGTTCAAAAAGAAAACCTCAGTGAAAAAATAAGATCCCCTGTGCCTAAGCCAAGTCCTCCTGAGCAAATGGCTCACAAATCAGACCAGTTGGCACAAATGCCCGCTCAGCTGTCAGGGAGCCCAAGCCCGCAGCGGCTGCAGGTGGCCGGCCACACAGGCTCTGTTCATGGAGTCCCGCATGCCCTGGGGTTCTGAATACTTACACTTCTCCTCTTTTCCATGTTTGCTTCTTCAGCTGCTTTCTGGTACCTTCAGAGAAGGGGGAGAGGAGTGGAAAAAGAATGTTCTCAGATTAAACTTGTATTTTAACTCTTTCAATCTTTAAGAAAACACTTGTGTAAACCTATTTCTGCCAGCAATTTGTCTTTAATCAACTCTATCAGAAGAAGGAGGGAATTGGAGCAGCTCCCACTTCCTGTCCTGTCCCAGCCTCCTGTTCTGATATAACAGAAAGATCCAAATGGATGAGGAAAATGCTTGGAAGCAACTGGATAGAGCAGAAAGTCTGGGGCTTAAGTACTGGTTTCATCACTTATTAACTGTGATCTCTGGCAAGTCAGTGGCTTTACATACCTACTTTCAAGGTTGCTGGGAAGATTAAATGAAATCACATGTGTAAAATGCTTTGGAATCAGTTAAAGTATATAGCATGGCATTAATCCTGAAATGTATATTCCCCTACCTGGTTGCATCTGAAACTATTACACAATTCTTGTCTGCCAAATGATAGTCATACTGCTCATACATGTGTCAATTTTTATTTATTTATTTACTTATTTAGTTAGTTTTAAGATGTATTTACTTACGCATAGAAATGGGGTACATGCCAGAGGTGTGGGGGTGGGAGGTAAGAGGATTCACCAGAGACAGAGTGGGGAACAGAACAGGCAGACTGACTGAAATACACTGCTGAGGCGAGATAGGAGAGGTCTGCTGCGCCATGTGGGTCACCTCCCTGGCCAGGGATCATCGAACTCTACTGTAGTGGCTACCGATAGCTTCATAGTGCTGTGCCTTAACCCCTTGAGCCACCAAGGAGGCCCACATGTGTGAATTTAGTCTAAGTTGTTTGATTTGTCACATTTGCTCAGTTAAATGTATTTGGTGGTACTTAAAGTGTCTTTAAAGAGATTACACTACATTTTGGCATTTAAAGAAAATCATTTTACTTTTTAATGTATACATAAGAGGTCTATGTAAGGAAAGTTTATGGGATAAGCAAGCACTGGTCCTTTTCATTAGCAGAATTTTTTCCTTAGTGATTTATTATTTCTTCTTTTTTACTACTTCAGTCACTTTATTTTACTATCACTTAGATCATAAAATCCCTGAGAAACAACTGAAGTCATAGGGCTTTTCAGAAGGGAGCAGGTTTTCTCATTTTGAGGACAAAGGAGGGCAGGGAAGCCCAAACTGCAAGCACACCTCCAGGCCACCCAGAATGACCTTACTGGCCTCCTCAATTGCGCTGGGCCTCTCTGTCAAGCACTGAAAAGGCACTACCACTTGGAGACTAACCACCATTTTTTTTCCTTGGGCCCACATGACTACAATCCACATAGCACCAACTCAGCCCTACAAAAGGACACATTCAGAGGGTCACTTGTTCTGTCAGAAGGTAAAATTTCAGAATTCACAAGGCATTTGGGGGAGGAAAAAGAAGATAAAAAGCATAAGTTTCATGAAGCATATATAATATATAATTCAATGTTACATCAGTAAAATTTTTTTAAAATTGAAATTTAAGGGGAATTTAACAATTAAAAAAAAAAGAAAGAAAAAGAACCAAATGGGGAGAGGGTCCATTTGTCTATCAAAACCAACTTTCAATTTGTAAAAGCCTTCATATGCCTAGTGTGCATGTCAAACAGAACTTTAACTAAAATAAAATGGAAGTCAGAAAAAGTCCTGGTTCTGGTACCACTGCTTACTTGTTATATAACCTGATTTATATCACTTCATATATTTTGGTCTTATCTACAAAATGAAATGACTCTGTAAGAGGATTTCTAAGGTCTCTTTTTATTCCTATCATTATTTGAACTTTTAACAATCAGATATGAATAAACATCTCATTTACTAGGCTGGAAATTGCTCAGCAAGTAAGCAGAGCTTTCTAATAGGAGAGGGTGAAAAGACTTCCAAAAATTTCTGGCATTTCCTTGACCATAAATAGAAAGAAAATGAGATCAGAACTTCTGTAAGTGTAGGAACAAGTTGCAAAGACATTTTTGCAACTTCTGCAATCAGAAAAGGCTGATATTCCTAAAAAATACAGGATTCTTACAAATCAATATGAAAATGACAACAGAAAAATGAGCATGTTTACAGAAAAGAACATCAAATGGTTCTTAGATAAATAGAAAGGATGTTTAATCTCAAAACAAAAATTCCAACAACACAAAGAACATGCCTCACATATCAAGTAGGAGATTTTTAAAAGAGGTTAACATACTGTTGGTGAGGGTTATGGGGAAACAGGACCTACCTTAAAATTGCTGGGATAGGGAGGTAATGAATTAGAAAAAAAATTAACAAAAATTACAAAAGCAAAAATATTATGTTGTGGGCCTCCCCAGTGGCGCAACGGTTGAGCGCTGGGTTGCGAAGCTGCCTGCAGCCTCTGCAGCGCCGGTTTGATCCCCGGCTGCTCCCCGGCCACCGGGGGAGGGTCCCACATGGCGCGCAGACCTCTCTTGCTGCGCCCGCTGCTCCCCTCAGCAGTGTACTTCCGTCCTTCTGCCTGCTATGCTCCCTGCTCTGGCTCTGGTGAATTCTCTCACCCTCCTGCGCTTCCGACTGTACCCAGTGCTTGTATAAATAAAATAAAATAAATCTTAAAAATACTCATAAAAAATTTTTAAAAAAAAATTATGTAGTTACTAATTATGTTTCCAAAATTTATCTTACAGATATACTTACACAAGCAGAAATGACCTTTTTTTTTTTTTTTTTTTTTTGTGGGACCCTCGCCGGTGGCCAGGGAACGAACCAGTGCTGCAGAGGCTGCGGGCAGCCTTGCAGCCCAGTGCTCAACTGCTGAGCCACCAGGGGAGGCCCATAAATGACTTTTATAATAAATTATGTCACAGCATTTATTCTAATAGCAAAAGACTGAGAGCAACCTTAATTTCTATTATGAGGAGACTAGGAAATAAACTATAATATATTCAAGCAATGGAATACTATGCAGCTATGAAAAGGGAAGATGGTGGTGACTGAACAACAATGGAAATATGCTTAATACCACTGAGCTGTGAACTTTAAAATGTTGAATAGCAAATTTTATGTAGTGCATATTTTACCACAATTAAAAAAATATTGGTACTGGCAGAAACAATATGGCATCCACATGAAGACAGAGATCACTGGAATAGTATAGAGAGCCCAGAAATAAATCCTCCCACATATGGTCAAAGGATTTTCAACCAGGGTGTCAAGATTATTCCATGAAGGAAGGACAGTCTTTTTAATAAATGATGTTGTGGGGAAATGGATGAACATGTGGGAAAAAAAAAAGAAGTTGGACCCTTACCTTATAGTATATGTAAAATTTAAGTCAGAATGGATCAAAGACCTGTATATAGGAGCTAAAATTAAAATACTCTTAAAGAAAACAGAAGCAAAGCTTCATGACAAGGAATTGGCAATGATTTCTTGGAATGACACCAGAAGCATGGGCAACAATGATAAAAAATAGATAAATTGGACCTCAGTATAATCTGTGCATCAAAGGGTATTATCAACAGAGAAAAAAGGCAACCCTTGAAGGGGAAAAATATTCGCAAATCACATCTCTAATAAAGGATTACTATCCATTTTTACATAATTTTTAAAAATTACAAGTATGGGACAACATTGTACATACTACTCTGCATCTCATCAATTTGGAATAGCTGAAGTTTTCATTCAAGAATATATTCTAGGGCCTCCCCGGTGGCGCAGAGGTTGAGCGCTGGGTTGCGAAGCTGTCCGGCAGCCTCTGCAGCGCCGGTTCGATCCCCGGCTGCTCCCCGGCCAACAGAGGAGGGTCCCACATGGTGCGCAGACCTCTCCTGCCACCCGCTGCTCCCCTCAGCAGTGTACTTCGGTCCTTCTGCCTGCTCTGCTTACCGCTTTGGCTCTGGTGAATTCTCTCACCCTCCTACGCTTCTGACTGTACCCAGTGCTTGCATGAATGTATGTATAAATCAATCAATCAATCAATCAATAAATATTTAAAAAAAAAAAAAAAGAATATATTCTAAATAATAGAGAAAAAGTAGCAAAAGTTTTAATGAAAAGAGACAGTTCCCACTCTCAGGCAGTTTACAGTTCAGGCTTTAAACAAATAAAGACAGACACATACATGCGTGCACACACACACACACACACACACACACACAATGACTCCTCAATTTGGTTCCTGTGTTAGGTTATTCAATACCATTCCATTATTTTTCTTTAAGAGTTATTGCTCTTGTTCTGTGCGTGAGCGTATGTGTGTGTGTGTGTGTGTGTGTGTGTGTGTGTGTGTGTGTAAGAGAGAGTCAGAGAGAGAAAAGCCTCCCTGAGGAAATAACCTTTTAGATCTGAAGTTTGACCAGAGGAGTTAGCTAGGCAAAAAAGGTGAGAAAAACAATCCTGGCACATAAAAGGCCCCAAGGCAAGAAAGCATCTGGTCATCTGGGTGTCTAGGGTTTGCATGTTACGCCAGTGCTGCTGAGCACACTGAAAAAGGGACAGTACACTTGATGCTGGTGGGCAGGGACTATGCAGACCATGCTAAGGATTTTGGATTTAATTCTAGGTACAATGAATGGTCATTGATCCAAATCATGTTTTTATTTTTATTTTTTTTTTTTTAAATATTTTATTTATTTATTTGTTTGTTTATTTATTATTTATACAAGCACTGGGTACAGTCAGAAGCGCGGGAGGGTGAGAGAATTCACCAGAGCCAGAGCGAGGGGCAGAGCAGGCAGAAGGACCGAAGTACACTGCTGAGGGGAGCAGCGGGCGGCAGGAGAGGTCTGCACGCCATGTGGGACCCTCCTCTGGTGGCCGGGGAGCAGCCGGGGATCGAACCGGCACCGCAGAGGCTGCGGGCAGCTTCGCAACCCAGCGCTTAACCGCTGCGCCACCGCGGAGGCCCCCAAATCATGTTTTTAAAAGAGTGCTCTGGAGACTAGAGGGGACTGAGGATGAAGGTGAATTTGTGGGAGATAATTCTGGCTTGGTTCAGAGTGGGACACTGAAGATAAAGAAAA